GCAGTTCATGGTCACCCCAAGTTGTCAAGAGGGGGCACTCCTCACAGCACCTTAGCCTGCCAACTTCTGCAGCCACCCCAAGGAAGGGACACAGATTACTGCTGATGCCAGAAGCAACAGAATGAGCAACAGCTATCACTCTGAGGCAACCGTGAGACAGAAAGGAGAAATTTGGGGGTGAAGAGTGTGCAGGAGAAAGCACTGAGGGACAGGTGGTGTGCCCACCAGCACAGGAGGAATAGAACAACTCCTTTCCGTGGCCCCCACTTCTGAGCTGCTAACTTATAGCCTGAATCACACCCCCCACCCCACGTGCCTGTTCTGTTTGCACGTTCTGTGGCAGCAGAACCTGGTTCTGTCCTGGGGTGCACAGGCCTCGGGGCCAGAGCAGAAGCTGAAGTGATTTGGTGTGGTTCCCTGACTGAAACTTGACATAGTTTTTGTTGTGCTCTTGTTTCGTCATGTTTATTGCTTTCTCCGAATACTGTCATTGTGTCCTTGCAGCTGTGTGACGTGTGCCGCAGTGTTGGATACGTGTGAGGGGATGTTCAGGGTAAGCGGCCCCAGCCTGCCCCGTGCTCCCGCTGGAGCCAGTGGCCACCACTCGCTGCCCGCCTCCTGCATGTGGCTCAGACCTGCACAGCGGCTCCGCCCCTGTCGCTTCCCCAGCCTCAGGAGCTGCCAGGCTGCAAGCTCACTGGGCTCTCTGGGATCTCTGGCCGTGTCTTTGGTCGTACTTTCTTGGCTGTTGGAGACGGGGGAGAAAGCCAGTCACCTAGTCTACCATCCCTTCCTCTCCACATGGTTGAAAATTGAAGGGTCACAGGCCTGTTCATCACATGATGAACTTCTGCTATCATCGGCATGCCTGCCGAAGACTTCTGTGTCCCATGTCCAGGGACAACGCCTCACGTGCACGCCTCAGCCCCCTAGTGTAGGACGTGTCCGAGGAAAGGCCTGCCCACTGCCAGCCCCCACCATGCAAGTGCAGCCTGTCTCATGTGAGTGCGCACTAGTTGGACTCCACTTTCAGACCCACAGCCTAGCTTGCTGTCTCCTAGGCTGAGTCAGCTGGCACATCCTGAGGACTCCATAGTATCACAGTGTCCACTGAGCTCATTGTTTTCTACCTCTGTACAATATTTTGGAACATTTGTACCCGGTCTGCCTGGTCTCCTCCTGTAAAGAGCAGATGCTAAAAAGAAGGGGTGACCAGAGTGAGCCAGAAGAGGGCTCTTGGGTGGGTGCCCCCATGAGAGCCGCAGACCAGTGACAGGCATGGCAGGAAGGCATCCAGCACCCACAGATGGGTCTCCTAACTTCTGACGCTTCCTCGGAAACAAGAAACAAGCCACCCTGCCCTCCGCACCCCCAGCATTGTCAGCAGGGCCTCTCCCCGTGCCCTCTCCACCCTCATCCCAGGGGTCTCTGAGGGAACCGCCAGGAGAATAGCTGAGCTGCTCGTTCCCAGTGCCTGCTCTGGGCTGGGTGTGTGTGCTTTGCCTGCTCTGTCTCTGTCACACAGACCTGTCACCATCCTTTGTTGTCCCCGTCTGGCTGTGGGGCACAGGGAAGGAAGACACCTGTCCAAGGCTGTATTCTCCCTGGTGATAGGTGGGACTTGGACTCCAGGTCTCAGGGCCTGTGCCTTCCCCAACACAGAAAGAAAGCATGGAAGGCGGGGTGCACCCAGGGCCAGGAGTGGCTGCTAGGCCCCCAGGGATGGGCCCCAGCAGTGAGGGCAGGACACAGGCGCCCTCTGGAGTGGGAGTAGGAGCAAGTGGGCCTCACTAGCGGAGCTGAGACCGCCCCCCGCCCCAGTCTCTGCTCCCTCTGGCGGCAGGATGAACACAGGCAGAGATGACGTTCTAATGACTGCTGGGTGTGGGGTGAAAGAGAAGGACCTTTGTTCTAAAGCTTCCATGTCTGTATAATGTCTTTTAGGACTGTGTCCAGATGTCTGTCTGTCTACTTGGTATGACATTCTTTGGGCTAATTCTTTTACTTAAAAAAAAAAAACACAAAAAGCCAATAAAAAGGCAACAAGATGCCCACCTCCTCGTTCTGGCCCAGGGCCGTCTCCCTCCTAGGTGTGCTTCTCCCACAACCCCTGTGCTGCCCCAGGCCCGGGGCACAGCCAGGCGAAGTGGAGGCAAACACTGAGCAGACCAAGGAAGGGGGCGACATGACAGAGGAAAAAGGGCCCAGGGCCCACGGCTCCAGGTTCCACAACCTTCCAGGGAGCCTCCTATTGCCCCCCCCCCCTCTGTGTAGTGCAGTCCCAAGGCCTGGGGCACCTTGGAAGAAGGTGCAGAGCAACCCCAGGGCCTAGCACACAGCCTCGCCTGGGCCAAGCTGCCTGATTTCCAGGTCAGCTTTGCCACCTTCAACCCCACAGGTGCCTCCAACCCCACAGACACTGAGCCCTGTTACCACAGGTACATTCTTCCTGATCACCTCCCAGGAAGGTGATGTACGATGAATGACCCGTAGTGCCCAAACAAGGCTGTATTGGAAGTGAGCCGCTTCCCAAGGGCTCAGAGGGGGTGGTTTCCTACATTTGGGGAGGAGGTTGCTGCAACCGCTGCCAGGCTTCAGAGGGCACCCCTCTGCCTGGCCCCGGCAGCATCTGAAGTATACTGTTCCTGGCCTCAGAGTGAGGGCTCCCATTCATTGGGAAAACGGGGTGTTTTTCCACTGCCACTGCAGGCCTCAGGGAACTAACTGCAGCCCTGAAATCCCCAGAAAGCTGTCACTGGGACCGGGCCCAGAGGGATCTGGACACTGGTCCTACAGGCTTGCTTGTTCATAGGAGCAAAGTGGCCCAACCCTGCCCTGACCTCCCAGTCAAACGCTTCAGCCAGGCCCCAAGTAAGCTGGCCTTGCACTGGCCAATCTGCTGCTGCTTCCTCACGCAATTGCAACTTGTAGCCTGACGTCCCTATCCTTAGCCAAAAGCCCCTTTTCACCTCTCTCTCTGCTGACTTCCAGATCTTGTTCACTTTGATGTCCCCTCCATCCACGTAGAGCTTGGGTCGACGCTCCGCCTGAGTCCCCTGGAGCATGCACGGCGACCCTCGGTGACTGAGAAGAGGGACTCAGAGGAAGAGTCTGAGAGCACCGCCCTTTGACATGCGTGTACACACCTGGGCCCAGTCCAGCACACAGCCAGAGCACCCCTGGGCCTGCCAAGGGTTCTCCATTGGCTCTTTGCTGTCACTGCCAACACAAGGCTGTAGTTTTGCAGAAAACTGCCCATCTCCAGCCTGTGTGGCAAATGTTGGTGGTGCCAATTTTGTGTGTTCCCTTCGGATGGTGACTTTGGCCTTTTGTTTGATCTTTGCCTTTTGACTTTGTGCCTATTTGATCCACTTTCGGCCTCTGTGCCCAGCAACAGCCCTCCGAATCCAAGGGCCTGCCAGTGGGAACTGTCTCTGCAGGACAGGGCTGTGAGGGGGGTGGAGCTGTCCCCGGGTTAGGCCTGGGGCCTCCGATGGCTCTGATGGCAAATGGCTTTGTGGCTGCAGCAGGGAGATGGGGTGGCAGGGGCTCTTTGCTCTGGGGCACTAGATCCAGGACCCTCGGCGTCCTGGGGCACTGCCCTGCCTGCTGCCCAGGGTGGGGAATGCCCTTCACTGTGGGGTCTGAAGTAAATGGCTTAAAACAAAATGTTTCACTTCCTAAGTTTCATTTTCCACACCCTGTGACTGAAAGCTCCTGTTTTTACCTTATCGTTTTACACTTTTGAATTTAAAAAATGATTTTAAGGATGTCTAGAGGGCCTAAATGTAGCTCCCTGCACCCTGCCTCAAACATCAGATAATGTGACAGCCCCACAAGGTGTGTGGGGTCCAGGAGCTGCCACTTCTCTGGAGGTCACAGGTGAACAGAAATAACCGTTACCTGAAGCAGGCGGCAGGAGGTGGCGCCGGCCCTCGGAGACACCAGCTCAGCCCGCAGCGCTGCGGGGCCGAGCTTCGCCCCAGTGCCAGGCTCTCGTCCTTCCTTGTCCCTCCTCGTGAAGCCCCACCTGTGCCCCGGCTCCCGGAGGAGGGCACGGACGGCGCTGGGGAGCCTGTCACACTTGGGGATGGAGGCGGCGAGAGACATGGGGGCCATGCATGCCAAGTCCAACTTCACAATTTTATCCTTTTAAAATATACCTATACATGATATATTTGTATATATGAAATTTCTATTTGTTTAATTTGAGCCATTTGATCTAAACTAATGTACAGGTGTAAAATTAGAAATTTACACACTTAGTTATTTTTCCCCAACCGTGTAAAACCGCTTTTCTCTGACTGTGGGACTGGCCAACTTGGACGCTAGCAGCTTCACGCACTTCCTGGCAGGGGCAGCTCAACACCCAGTTTGTAATGAAGCCCAGGGGTTGAAAGTATCTTTAAAAACATGTACAAATAGTTGTCAAAAGTCATCTTATTAAAATAGACTCATTCTCCCTGAGCATGGCTGTGGTTGTTTAAGAGACACGTGGGGACGGGGCCGCGGCGCCAGCTGCTGCGTAGGGAGGAGCCTGAGGGCAGGGTAGGCCCTCCCTCTGCAGCTCTCATCACCCAAGTGGTTTATGCGTCTCTGTTTTCCTAGGTAGGGAGAATACACAAGTAAATACTGGGTTTACCTTTACTGTTTCTTTTAATTCTCAGGCACTAACCTCACGTTGTTAAATCTCATGAGGAGGGCAAGGCAGCCCGACATCACGCTACCTCTTAATAGTCAGAAGGGCAGCGAGCGAGTCTCATTCTCGCCTGGCCACAGAACAGCCCATCCACTGGCTGCGCTGTCTCAACAGGGGCCGGTGTGGGAACCAGGCTGCTGTCGGCCAGCACAGCCTGACTCATTAGAACACTGGGCTGAGAGCCACTCCCGGGGTCATGCCACTGGAGCTGGCCTCCAGAACATACCAGGAACCCGACAGCAGGGGCCCGCTGCAGAGGGAGACTCTTGTTCAGAGGCGGCACCGGGATGAAGCAAAGCACTCGAGTTCCAAACAGAATCTTTATTGCATTCTCTGTCTTTGGAAATACGTCTCCTCAAGTCTTGGATACTTGGACTTCACGGCCATAACCCAATGTTCCCTGGGAAATGGCTTGTCTCTGGTGTGCAGAGGGAATAATCTGGCCACAGCAAGCCTGGGTGTACCGTTTTTCCATGTGACTTTACTATCAATGGCACTGGATTCCAGTCACCCTTGCTTTCCTCCTGGCAGCCTCCTGTCCACAGCTCTGCCAGGCCCCCTTACTGAGAGACACCCAGCACACCAGTCTGCTAGTCCCTGCCCAGCCTCACACTGCCTGCTCCCCTGTGACCCCCGTGGAACGGCGCCCTCTGGCTCCCACCAGGCAAAGGGCGGACACACAGTGCCCATGCACGGGGTGGAGGATGTGAGCCTTCCGAGTACAGGGTCCCTCCTGGCCTTCACTTCGCCTTGACCTTCTTGCGCTGTGGGCTCTGAGGCTCCTCTGCATGTGCCAGTTTCTGCTGGGGCTCACTGTCCACCTGCTCACTGGACAGGAGGGCTGCCCTCACGAGCCGTAGCTCCCTCTTCTCCCTGCGCTCCTCCATCTCCTCAATGTCACCGGCAAACAGAGCTTTCAGCGGGGCAATCAGCTTGGGCACTGTGGGGAAGTCTCCAAAGCAAACCTGGAAGGCAAGATGGAGGCAGAGGACAGCTCAGAGGGGCTGGGCGGGGGGCAGGGTTGGGAGTGGGAAAATATGCTCATACCATAGGCACCAGATCTCCTTCCCACCAACCCTGGAGTCCACAGACCACAAGTGGGAAAGAAAAGGAAACTCCACGGAGAGAGGGGGGGAACTAAAGAAGGCAGAGACCCCCATTGCCAGGCCAGGGCAGCAAAGCTGAAGAGGCCTCAGAAACACAAGGCTTCCCCGCTCTGAGCATCAGGTTCTTCATAAAGAGGCCCGGCCGGTGCCAGGGGCCAGGCCCGGCTTTCCCACTCACGAGAGGAGAGGGGAGGATGTCCTGTCTCCAGACTGTGGTCAGGCTCATGTGATGGGGTGGTGGGAACACAGTGAGCCTCCAAGAGCCTCTCAGTCATTCCCAGTGATCGACGCTGATGTCTTTCCAGAAGGGCCTGTGGAAGGCCGGGCTGGCCCTGAGCCCGACCATCCTTCCTTGTACAGGTGCAGCGATGTCCCTCTGCCTTGGCCCCACCCCATGCAGCCCACCCCATACACACCTTCATGTGGTCAAAGGCAATTCCAACTTTCTCGTTGAAGTCAGGGCTGAAGAGGGGGATCTTGGCGTAGCGCTGGCTGAAGTGGTTCAGCATGATGAACTCTGCGTTCATCCGCATCCCCACACCGATCGCCTGGGAGGTAGTGCTGCAGGCGAGGAAAGCAGTCAGGCCAAAGTGCTGCCGAAAGGCCGTCCCCAGCCCCGCCTCCCCTTGCTAATTCCCTCAGTGGCTCCAGTTGATTCCAGTGTATTTCTAATTCTTTCTAAAGCTATGCTGCTCTGAGAACCATGTCTAGAGAACCCCACAGAAATAAGACAGAAGGGCCCAGCAACAAGCTGCTACCCCGGTCAGAAGTCCACATAGCCCTCTGCTGGGAAGCAGGCCTGCCTTGAGTCAGTGGAGGACAGTCTTTCTCAGCAGCACTGACATGAGGTGCTCAGTGCCACCGGGGAGGGATAGGGAGTGGGTGACGAGGGCTCAGCAGTCTCCACTACCTGTGTGTCTTTTCTACAGCTTCCTGTTCCAGACCATCTTCCAGCGTGGCCTCGTGTATCAGGAGGGTGGCGTCTTTTCCTAGGGAGTAAGTACAGGTGTCAAGCAGTGTCATCTGCTGCCAAAGCACTTGGCCCTGATCCACACAGCTGGCTCCCAGCCAGCACTTGCTCCCCACCCTGTGGCATGTCTGCATGTTAGGAATGACAACCAGAGGCTGCCAGACAGGACCAGAGTCAGCTGCCTCTACTCACCCATCTGGACCAGAGCCTCACAGGGCATGGTGTCCCCTGAATAGACCAGTTTCCAGCCAGATGTGTGGACCAGCGCACAACCAAAAGCATGCTTGCAGTGTCGGACCAGGCAGGTCTGAAACTGAGGGAGCAGGGGAGCAATTGCAGCTGCGCTCCCAGCCTCCCTGCCTCCCCGCCACCTGCAGCTGCTCCATACCTTTTCCAAATCACAGGTGCTCAGCAGTGAACTAATCAACCTTTCAACTGTGGGGTTGGAGACCTCAGCTCCTTCCTGAAGGCATTTGGCAGGAATCATACTGTGAGAAATAAAACATTTAAACAAACATTTTTAAAATTTTAACTTATTCAAAATTTAAGTTTCTGGCTGGAAAGGCCCAAAGTCATTGTAAAAAAACAATTTAAATCACAGTCACTAAGATGAGAAATGTCGTCCATGAAAAAGAACCAAACCAAACCACCAGCCACTGAAAAAACCTAATGGGTGATCTGTCCCCAATAGAGGTCGTCGCAGGCCATTCCCAGGCAGGCTGGCTGGGCTCCAGGCAGATGGGCTCCTTCCCCCCAAGGTGAGGACAGGGCTGACTCCTGCCACTCATCCACCTGGGCGTGGACAGTCTTTGTGCTCACCACCACGTGGGTGCTTGGCTCTGCAGCTGTTTTATGGAGAAGTGTTGGCAAAAGTCTAAAGCCTAGATCATACCTGAAATGAGGGCTGCGAGGAAATGCAGCCAAGAAAACACACTTAAGTGGGAATCATCTTAACAGTTTTTACACTTGAGTCAAAGCATTTGTCCCCTGCTTCTGCCGTCTGCAGCCAGGTCAAGGGAAGGTGCTAGGGATGTCACGACTGCCCCACATCGACCTGGAACTTGCCCCCACAATGTGGAGGAGGAAGAAGACTACAGCCTGGGGTACAGGCCGCCTGGCAGCTCACCTGACATGATGCAGAACCTGCTGGCACTGGTTGTGGTACTGCTGGAGCCAGGGCCTGAGCTGGGTCGGGGCGACCACCAGCAAAGGGTAGAAGGGTATGCCCATCGACACCTGAAACAACAAGACAAGTACTGAATCAACGGCAGACACTTCAGTCAAACCGCTGTGGAGTGGCAGGAAGTCCAGCTATTATAGCTCCAATATGATCCAAGCAAACTCAAATGGCAATAAAATCAAGTGCCACACTTACCAAAGCTCGTTCTCTCTGCAGCAGGACATTTAACAAGCCCTGGGAAGGAGAAAAGAGACACAGGTTAGACATTTCCAAACCCAACCCTGTACTGGGGTCATCTGATCACGTCGCAGCGGTTCCCAGCTCTCTGCTGGCCACCATCCTGGAACACCGCTGGAGTGGGAACTGGTACATGCTGACCCATGACCTGAAACCTCACCACAACACGGTCAGCTGGCTGGGGGCCCAGCTGCCCCGAGGAGACAAGCCTCTCACCTCAGGCTGCATTTCTGCTGAGCAGGCTCTGTGAGAAGGCTGGAGACAACCTGGGTGAAGGCAAACAGTAGCCACCCTCAGGGGCGGCCCTGCCCTGCACTCACTGTGTGATGATCCGCGTGCAGGTGGGACACAAACACAGCGGCCAGGCTGCCCAGGACCCTGTCCACGTCATCTCCGTAGTGACGACACAGCTGCCCAAATGTGCCTTCACCACAGTCCAGCAGCACAGTCCTGTCGGAACTACGGAGAGAAGCAAGACGTGCGGCGCTGAGACAAAGGGCCTCTGACAGCTCAGAGGGCTTATTTCAAGAGGAGCGGCAAGCCGCCGTGGGAGGGCCTGCTGCCCCAGCCTCGCATTCTGCTTCCTGAGCACCTTCTCCAATGCGAAGGCCGCTGTTACATCCATCCTTAGAGAGGAAAACTATCCACGGGACCCTGCAGCCCTTTAAAGAACATGGAAAATATACAGAGCTACACAAATGCTGGGCCTCAAGAAGATGCTTATGTGGAATGAGAGGGTAAGATGTTTACTAATCCTAACAACGCATCCCTGAAGATTCAGATCAGATGTGATGACACCCACTGTGGATAACACCAAGGGCGGGCACTGGGCACATATGAGACCTGGCTGCTCTGGGCTGCTTCACCCCTTTCCAAGCAGTTCTGGTTTTCTTAGCCCACGTCCTCAAAGGTGGCTGGTGGGGGATAGGCCACAGATGTTCCCCTGAGGGTAAGTCATGTCACTCCCAGCCACCTGCTGGAGCTTTGCTTCACTTGGCCTCAGGCAGGACTCGGGGAACTTCATTCTACGAGCTCTGCTGGCTACTTGGAGGAGCAGCCGTCTTAGGGACTGTGACCTGGGTAGGAGGGCCAGGCCTGCCAGCCTTCCTCCTTCCTTGGGAGAGCCGGGAGACTAGGATGGCTGTGCCCATGCTCATAGAGAAGCCTCAGCATCGTGCACCCCTTTGTGGAATAAAGTGCAGTGGGGAGTGCAAGCCAGTGACAGCACCTTTACGGTGAACCAACTAGGGGTCCAGAAGCCACTATCAGCCCCAAAAGGCTGGCCACACCCAGGAGCTTTACTGTACTGCCTTGGTTATACAACAAATCCCTGATCTATATATATATATCTGATACCAGGGTGCATCTTCTATTTGCTGTCTATTATCCACCACTGACACCTAAGATGTCAAAGCAAAATTTTAAAACCTGGTCCTTGAGTCTCTTTTTCATAGGTACACCGTGAACATTTCAGAATGCCCTCAATTAATCTTTCTGCAGAGAACCGACACTAGGCAAACCCAACAGAATCAACTGAGAGCCATCCGACCAAAGGGCTGAGCACAAACCCATGTGCCAGCCCAGAGGCTGTTTCACACTTGAGCAGCACGGAGCTAGGGGACAGTGCAATGCAGGGATTAAGACACCAATTCACATTTGCATCTGTCATTTACAAGTAACCTCTGGTGTCAGTTTACTCACCAATAAAATGGGTAGTCACTACTTCATAGGATTAATGTGAAAAGTAAGTGAGGTAATTCCTTAGCAAGGTGCATGGTATATGGTAGAATGGGATATTTTTATCAAAAAGTATATGGGTGACAAATTCCAGTGATTCCCAGAAGTCTAAGTCAGGCATCTAGGCTAGAAAATGCATGAAGGCCCGTTACCCTTCTTTGGAAACACTCTAGCCAAGATGACAACCTTACAAGGTGTTATGATGTTACATTTTCAAAGTAACTTGATGCGTGCAGAGGAGCTTTTGTTTAGAAAACCAGAGCGCTCCTGGATGGACAGACACCTCCCAGGAAAGCAGTAATACCTTATCTTGACAAGTGTGGAGCTGACATTCCGAATCTTCATCGGGATGGCAGACCCTGTTCCCAGGAAGATGATCTCTGGATACTGGCTTTTTTCCTCTATGGAAAAATACACACAAAGAGTAAATTTCTCTGGGTCGAGTGTGAGCCAGCAGCCAGCCCTGACATGAGTAAGTCCAGAGACTCAGGAGGACTGTGTAAGGGCCACTGTGAGAGGGGTCACAGGCTGCTTGTGGGAAAAGGGCTATCTGTCTGGGAGGTGCAGCAAACGAATCCAAAAGAACTGCTCTAAGTTTTTATATTACAAAGGGACCTCTCTGTGCTTAGAATCAGCATTTACCTGAGGGGCTGGTGCTGTCTCACAGCAGCTCTTAGCACCACTCGCACCTCCTGCGTGTGCTCACACAGCCCTGCAGCACCTTGCTCCTGGTGGGGTAGGGGGCTAGATGGGCTAACGAGTCAACTCCAGACAGGAAGGCAGAGCCAGGGTGGAAACCCTGGGAGCCAGTTCTGCCCTGTGCCCCTTCCACAGCCCCTCCCACCGGCCGGCACCGTGCGCACATTGGCAAGCACTATCTCAGGGGGTCTTGAACACAGGAACCAGAAATCCAGTCACAAACCCCCAGGCCAGTGAGGCCAGGGGAGGCAGTATTCCCCAAGCATCGGGTGGCTGTGATTAGAGGAAGTAAGGTTTCTACTTGCCTGGGCCGGACTCAATGAGCACCCCAAACCTGCCTTCCGCTCCAGCCTTCTCCATCTCTGTCATCTCTTGTAGATGGCACTGGACAACCACTGGAGCAGGGGTCATGTAGTGCCCCTAACTACTTTTCCTCATGGGGTAGTGAAAGCCCAATGAGACGGGGGACGTGGCCGGAACCTTTTGTGGGTCCTAATGGCCAAGCCAGGACTAGATCCCAATCTGGCTAAGTCCCGGTTCAAAGTTTTTTCTGGCATCTCACTGGAGTTTCCAGAACTGCTGCCCTCAGCCCGTGCCTTGTCGAGAATGCCTGTGTGCCATCACCAAGCATTCCAATGTCACTGGTCCGGGAGGGGGTGGGCACTGAAGAGAAAGCAGGGGGGCAGTGGGCTGCATGAATGAACACAGCCTGTCTGAGTGAGCCGCGTTGACACTACTCGATGCTGCAAAGACACCTGCGGGAGCACAGAGGCCTGTGGTCCTTTCCTCACCTGCTGGGGCTGGGCCATCCTGAGCCATCTTCCTATATTCCTGCACGCTCTCTTGGAAATTGGGGAGCTCCATGGCCTCAGCTATGAATTCATCAGAATTGCAAGTAATAAGGGCATCCCTGCAAAGAGAAACATATTTCAGATGACCAAAAGGGGCATGTGGCCACAGACACCAGTTTGGAGATCCAGAATCCATGTGTGGAGAAAATCTGCAGAAAGTTGTTTCATATCAGATTGAAGACTAAGCGACGGAGAGTTTGGGCAGTTCTCTTCTGCCCTGTGGCACCTCTGTCAGCTGCGGGGCATCTCCGAGTGAGCTCTGCTCAGCTCTAGCTCCTCACAACATGTCCAGGCTCAGAGCCTAACAACCTTGGCACTACTGACATCTGGCACAGGGGTGGGGTCCCATACAACATCCTTGGCCTCTAGATGCCCCCGGCTTCTGGCATTCCCCCAGGGGGCTGGGAGAAGGGAGGGGGAGAGAGGAAAATCACCTCTGAGATGAGAGTACAGCCTCTCGAGCTGAGACACACACAGCTTACCTCCTGGGGATGTCGTCCAGCTGTAGGGCCTGACTCAGTGGCTCTGGGGTGCAAGCTGAGACTCTGTGTTTCTAGCAAGCCTCCAGATAATGCTATGTTGCTGGTCCTGGACACACCATGCAGCAAGGCTTGGACCAGTGGCCCTTCAACCTGACTGAGCACTAAAATCACCTGAGAACTTATTGAAGGGAGTCCCCAGCCTAGCTCTCAAGATTCTAAGTCAGCAGGTTTGGGAATTCTATTTTCCATAGGCACAAGGTGAGCTGGGGGAGTGGCTACATTTGTTAATCATGGCTTTATGAACTGTCTGCAGATGCTGACAAAGGGACCATGAGCTCTTCACTCCCCAGACACTGTCTGGGGGCCCCAGTCATGCTGCCACCGCCTCTTCCACAGTACTGAGTGTCCAGTGATGACCTGGAGGAGCCTGGTCCGTTCTAACACAGACACTGCAGAGGCGGCCGGAAACCTCAAGCTACACAAGACTCAGATCTTAACAAGTGATGATGAGTGGCAGCGAGCTCCTCTAAGGTCACTGGGTGGAAGGCAGCCCTCCAGGGCCTCTCTGGATGGCTCGTTACATTTACCCAGCCCTCCAAAGGGTCGCGCTGACTCAGTAACCTCATGTCTAAGAGGCGCCCTAAGGGAGCTGACTTCTAGCAAAGATTTCTACATAAAACATTTCATGTTTCATTAAAACAGCAAAAACTTGGAAACATCTCATATTAATCAACATCCCTATCGGGACTGCCAATGAAACACCATGTTGGACACTACATAACGATGCAGGGAAGACTACACACCAATACAGTGACATACATGTATATGTAGCACACCCACATGCACTTTTTGGCACACAACCATACACATGCATTTATTTACACGTGTCTCTTGCTGTCTCTCGTGGGACAGGCAGTTGACTAGTTCTGACAGACACCACACGATCTGCAAAGCCTAAAGCCATATTTATTACCTGGCCCTTCACAAGAAAGGCTTGCCAACCTCTGACCTAGAACACGCTGCAAGCCCCACCCACACAGACCTCTGCCACTCTCTCCGGGGACGCAGCTGGTACTTGAGGAGGCATTCCCCGCGGACTGTGGGCACAGTGACGGTGGCGCCCTCTTCCTGCAGGAGAGAAAAAGACGCTCCCTGGAAAGACAGAAAAGGGCAGGGACCAGGCTGCCAGGGACTAGGCTGTGACACTACCTTACAGTGGAGACCAGCGAGTGGGGGGAAGATGTCAGGGTGGATGAGGTTGAGCTGTGTCTGAATCTTGTGACTACGCAGGTTGTGAACGGATGTGCAATTCTCATTCAGTATCAGGTGCTGGGTGTCAGGCCCAAACCTACAAAGAAACAGACTGTGCATTCATGGCATCCTTAAGGGGGCATTCCCACTGCAGGGATGGCACTGGAGACCAGGGCAGGTGATGCAGGTGCAAGTGTGCAAAGGGAACCAGTGGCTGGGCCAGAAAGGCTGCTACTAAATGGCCACACCTGACCCTCCTTCTCTCCTCTCAAAGTCTAGTTTCTCCCCAAATTCAAACCAGAAAAAAAAAATACCAGGAAAAAAAATAAGAAAAGTTAATGTTCGGAGCCTACCACTAGAGACTGGAAACAAAGTGGAGTGCAGGATGGAATAAAAAGCCTAATAAGAGGAAAAGAGATAATGTATGTTAAGACTCAACCCTGAAGGAGCAGAGGATGAAGAGAGCTGAGCAGTGACAGGCGGCCAGGCTCATGAGGAAAGAGATGAAGGGAGATGCTGGAAAGAAACAGGACGGGTATAGGCCAGAAGGCCACTCAACATCTCCACGTACTGTGAGTTCAGTGCAAACAATTCCTCCCATGTGGTGCTGGCCAGCCAATGAAGCCAACAGGAAAATGTGGCCTCTCCTTCTAGGGACTAAATTTGGCTAGACCATCTGACTCACAGGGTTGTTGAGAAGATTAAAAACAAAATGTAGAATATTGAACACACTGTGGGACACGAGTGTTTAATACACTGGAGTCATTATTTGAAACTCGCTAGTCTCTTCTTTAGGCTCCGTGCATGGAACTGTCAACAAAATGGCAGCACAAGTTCAGATGCTGAGTGTAGATGGTGGAAGCTGATGCTAACCTGAATCCCCCCACCCCCCTCCCCCGCACAGGCGGGACAAGTGCACACACTGTGCCCCCTAGTGGTGACGCTTTTTCACACAAGGGATACTGACAGCAGCTCTCACGATTCTGGAACAGCAGGAATCCCTGAGCTTAGGCAGGTGCAGAAGTAAGGGCAGGAGGTACTTCAAAGAGTGAGGAGTGAAGATGTGGCTCGTACCTCTGCATCCACTGCTGGTACCTGCTGTCTGCAAGCACACACTCCGGGGCCATGTGAACTACCAGGGCCACAGGGGCATCGGCCTCTCCTTGGAACCTGGGTGGAAGGAAGGATGGGGCTTTGCTTTATGAAATGATACAAACTCAAAATGTGCATAAATGGGACTGGGCAACCAGGGAGGGGCACCCCTCGGTGCACCCCAGCCAGACTGGTCCAAGCTGCCCCCAGAGGTGCCTGAGCATTCCGAAGCCCCAGCACTGACCCAGGGTCCCTCTGTGCAGCAAGCATGGGGCCTGCCCTAGACTCAGAACTGTAACTGGCCCATAATTTCCTAGTCCTCAGAAGTCTCTGCTTTTCCATCTTTTCTAACTTCATGTAAAGGCTAGGTAAGCCACAAAGCCCGCCACTGCCAATCACTGAATAAATCCTGCCATGGGACCAACCCTTTGAAAGGCAGACAGTGAGTTTTCCCAACCAGCTTTGTGCCAGGAGCAACCACAGGTCAGAGAACACCCTGTTGATGTGCTGGGCTCTGAGCAGTGGCTGGCTCGTCCTTGTCCCCCCAGGACCTGTCATATTACCTCTGGAAAGCAGCATTCTCACAGATGGGTTGAATGAATCCCTTGTCTGGACACTCAACCACAACAAAAGCAAGGCTGGGATCCGGAGGAGTACAGATCTCTTCAGGCAAAATCTGCAAAACCAATGGGGCCATGAGGCTCTCCCGGAGCAGTCACAGCCCAGCAAACAAGCCCAGAGGCGTTCCGGTCTTCTGTGACGCTGCATAAGCCCCACTGAGCAGGACAGAGCCCCTGTAAGGACTCCCTCTTATACCATTCCTGCTCCCTCTGCTCCTGCTCAGGCAGGCACCTCACTAGCAGCGGGTGTTCTGAACTGCAGTGGCCAGAAAGCCAGGCATGGCATACATGGTTCTCTCAGGTCCAAGGCCACTGGTCCTAAAATTCCTACATGCTAGAAAAAACATCCTGATTGAGAATATGGTGGCGGTCTTCTGGGCCATGCACCCAAAGTCCATCCTCATGGGGGTCTTCCCTGAGCTCAAGGACAAGGGAAAGTGTCTACCCTCCTAGGAGGAGGACCCCCAGATCCTAAACGGAGGACAGAAATACCCCACACAGGCAGTGCTGACATGCACAAGTCTAGGTAACAGACCTCATTTTATTGCTTAGCCAGCTGATACAATCTACCCAAGCTGTTCCACTTCCCTCAAAAGTCATCTCTGCAGGGCCTGAGCCAGACAGCAGCTCTGTGCAACATTCCTTGTAGATGCTGAAAAAACATCAAGACAATGAATGGGGCACCTCACCTCCCTTCCCTCAAAAGTGACGCTTTTCCCGTCCTTGACCGCAGCGATGATGGGAGCGATAGCAGCTGTCCCCCTAAAACGAGGAGGCGAGCACTCTGTGAGATTTGCTTTACAAGCAAGAGGGGACCCATCCACCACCGGCAGCCACAGTCCCTGCCACTCACACCGGGAGGCCCAGATCCTTGGCTTTGAGCACCAAGAAGTTTCCTTTCTTCATGTGAAGCTGGAATGAAAAGAACCCAAATGTAATTTCAGTGACTAACGAAGAAGCTTGGTTTTAATCGATTTTCTTATACGTGCATCTTTCTGGTTTTACTTTTTAATTGTTATTTTCCGATACTTCATTAGACTGCAGGTTAGGTTATTGCTTTTTGATAAAGCATATTCTATTCTGAAGAAGTTATTTATTTTGAAATGCTTTAGTGATAAAAGCTGAGTGACTTAAAGACACAGTGCTTTATTTCCCAACATTAATTCCTTATAAATTTAATAAAATGTAACCCATTTGCTATTTCCATAGCAAATAAAGAGGATCCTTCAAGTGTCCTTGTTCTGTGTTGCTATCCTGCCCGCATCTGTGAACAGCTGCAGGGGTATCTTGAGGGCGCAGGCTGTGCAGCACGGCAGTCCCCCGACGTGAGGGCCCAGTGTGGGCAGTTCTCTCCTCTGTTTTTCACATATTGGCAATATAATGCTGTTTTTTTAATACTGGAGAAATGCTGTTATATTTCTAATATACTGTTATTAGAAAACAATAATCCTATTACAATACCTCATAATCATTCTATACTTAAAAATTTGTAGCTCGATGGATTGAGCACGGGCTGTGAACCACAGGGTCACAGGTTCAATTCCCAGTCAGGGCACATGCCTGGGTTGTGAGCCAAGTCCCTAGAGAGGTCCACGTGAGAGGCAACCACACATTGATGTTTATCTCCCTCTCTTTCTCCCTCCCTGCATCTCTCTCTAAAAAGAAAAAAAAAAAGAAAGAAAAATTTGTCCAGATATTTTTGTGATCCACATTTCCAACATAGTAAGAGGAAAAAAAAAAAAAGAGAGAAATGGCATAAAGTGTTAGTAAGTTTTGGGGCATTCGACTATATTTGATTTTCATTTTCCTCTTTAAATCTTTATATTAACTGTTTGCATTTTCTTTTAACTTCCTGAAGTGAAGAAATTACTTGTAGGTCAAAGTCTCCAATTTGGATCGTAAAGCCTTATTACGCTTCTAGAATTTTCTGTCTTCAAAAACATAACTCTAGGGGAGGGATCACAGCTTTCAGTGTGCACACGTAACAAAAAAATGACAGCTGAGATGATGCCTTTAGACAGTGACAGTAACAAGCACTGCTCTGACTACTCTCCCCACAGCCCCAAATACGCCCGAAGATGGAAACTGAACGCTTCTAATGTTTAACAGGAACTTGCAGACCTTTAGGCAGGCAAAACCCATGCCCTTACTATAAGCTAAGTTCAGCCCACAAAGAAAGCTGCTCCCACCCAAGGAGAGCAGAGCATGTGGAACAGAGAGGAGAGCCAGCTCGCAGGCCCACAAAGCCCGAGCAGCACACGGCTGCCGGGCGCCTGAGTCCTCGGGTCAGGCCCTCTCCATACAGGCCCTGTGCTTGCCAACCTCACGTAACTTGAGTGGGCTCAGCTTTCCTGCCTTCCAAACCCTTCGCGGAGAAACGGCAAATGATTAGAAGAGGGAAAGGGGGCCAGAGGCGGAGCCAGAGAGAGGGGCTCCTGGAGGCAGACGTGGACGCTCAGGCCGGAGACAGGCCTGGGCAGCAGCCTGGGGCTCTCCAGGCTGCAACAGCTGCCCGGGCCTGCAGCTGCCTGGGCAGAGCCTGTCAGCAGAACACACCCCGTCCTGCTCTGCACAATCCACTCCACGAGGCAGTTTACCATGTAAACTACTTTCAAAAACATTATTCTGCTTCCTAAAAACTAAAAAAATAGACAACTAAGCCTATCAGCAATATTATAGTTATTATTCAAATAAATTGACAGGTGATATTGACAATGATCTTTCAACTAATAACTAATATCACTACTGACCTTTCATAATTGTTTCTACTTGTTAGAATTTGAATGAAAATGACAAATAATGTTTTAAAATCAATGTTGCTTGTTTTAAAAATAAATCAAAGACCCCCCAACACACACACACAAAACAATGTCTTACTACAGATTAGACAATACTGTCTGTTGCAGATTACAATAAAATTTTAATGTAAAGTCATATTAAAAACAGGCCATTAGTCAGATCTGAAAAACACCTTTTTATAATAACATTCTCAGAGACTCTGACCACCTTCAGATTTGCAGATCAAGGCCTTTGGGGACACTAACCAATATTAAATCAGTCCCCATGTCAGCAGTTAAATAATACAAACTAAAAGAGAAGAGAATAAAGGCCTGATTCATTTGAAAAAAAATAAAACTTTCTCTAAAAAAATGGTCTTGAACTTCAGAAACATAGCCAAATCTAAAAGAACATATAGCTAGAACAACAAAACAATGGAAGAGAATTTGAAAGAATATAATGGCATAGGTGGCGTGTTGGAAAATACAGGGGCACCGGTGTTTCATCTTGGCCCAGGTGGCTGAGGAGGTGCCAACCAGGAATTACAGGAAGCAAACCACACACACGTTCACAAAGCCCCACAGGAAAGATGCTTACCTTGCAGACAAAAGCCACGACCAAGGAAGGGTCCCTGCCACCCCTTCTCTGGCTCACAGCTGAGAAGAAAACCAATCTGATTATAACACATATGAAGGTTTACAGGCTTCACAGATCAATGATAAGCTGATAGCTAATTTGACTCTATACAAAATAAAACAGATGTAATCCTTTCGATACAAAGGTTGAAGGAAGCAATGGTATTCTTTTTTAATCAGATCTTCTGGTTTTCCTACTCATGTTAAAATTTGAGCAAGTGAAAAATGCAAAACTCCAACCAGAAAAGCTTAGAATGGAAAGTGAAAGATATAAAAATGACACATTTTACCTAGGAGTAGAGAAGTGAGCAAAAACAAGTTGCAAGCTGCTTTATAAACAAGTATCAACAAGCATATGTGAAATAACAAAACCTAAAAGGCCCACAGAGAAAGCCTAGGTGTCAGTCTCCACCTAAGCCATCCACGAAAGGGTGCTGACAGGGTTGGCCCCGTCCCAGCCACCAGACAGCCACAACCTCAGGGTGCACAGGGAACTCATCAAGCCTCACCCAGCACTGGACAAGAGAATCCTTAAGCAGTCCAATTCCGCTGATACATCTCCTCTTGGCATTTTAACTCAGGTTCCCAGTAGGTTGCCTCTCTGACACAAGAGGTACAGATCCACCCATTGATCTGAGTGTTTTATAGCTGAGCAGTTATAGCTTCTGCATTCATGAAAAGTTAATCTGCATCAATGTCCAATTAATAAAAAACACAAAGCCTCTGTATGCATCAATTTGCCTCTAGGTAAATTGAACACAAAGTTTGGGGCACACCGGGGGCTGCTGATGGGCCTTAAAGCCCTGCACTGCCATGTTTATAGCCCTTACCAGCCTGCCACAGGCCAAGTCCTAAAGTGAAAGTAACAAGTCTGTTTTACACAGGCAGCCTTCCTATGATGAAGGTTCTCATTCAGAACATGAACTGACGATGGACTAAGAAAACAGAGTTCTCTGGACAGTGTACTGTTTGGTTCAATTAGCATTACCATCTGGAAAGCACTGCTCATTCTCAGGTGATGGAGAGTCTGCAGACTGCTCTGGACTGAGCCTTTCTGACCTCTGTGACGGCTGGTGATTTCCACACTTCTGCTCACCTGGTGAGGACGGGAAACAACCAAATTACTCACCATGCCAGGTGAGCTCCCAGGAAGGGCCTAGATGTTCACATGTGGGAACAGCATGCCTTCTCTTACAGTAAGGACTAGCCACCTGACCCTGACCTGGTCTCTGGCTCACGGGTATATCATACTCCTCTTTATGTTTCTGTTCAGCTCAGAGCCTTGGCTATACTAGGAACTCAACAGCATGCAAGTAGTAGGCTAGTTTATTCATTATCATCACTCTCAATAAACAGACCTAGACCCAAAAGTTACCCATCTACCTGAGAAGGGGCATAATTTTGCAGTCAGTTAAATCTCAAGGTCAAGAAAAAAAGAGCTGCTCAAGGAAGCCAGTGCACAGCTCCTCTGGCATGCTCAGTCCCTCAGTGCTGATTGTGCACTGGGACAGCCATGCCGGCCAGCGGAGCAAGTTTGTGCTGGTCACACAAATACGTGTGAAAGTGAACTGTTCTGTGCTGGGGAGGGAGAAACACAGAAACAGCGGAGAGTGGGTGGGGAGGGAGGTCAGAAAAGGCAAGACATCTGAGCAGGAGTGAGCCGGGGTCAGGTCCCAAGGCACTCAGGCCTTTGCTGGACTTGTATGCCTTCAGTGCTTGGCAAGCATCACACTAGTTAGCACTGTCAGGGAAATGACTCTGAATTCTCCTGCAGTCCAGAAAGGCTGACATGGAGTGTGCTCAACCAGACGCAAGGACAACGCCGACACAGCAGGGACTGACGTGAAAACGGTCTCTCTCTCTCTCTCTCTCTCTCTCGGTCAAAGCCACATCATCTGGCTCTGGGGCCTGAAATGGCTCCTGTGACCTTCTGATCTTCTGACAACATTCTATGAGGTTGCTATGTATTTAAAAAACATTTATCATGTATACCTCTCCAGAATCCTCGTAGCAAAGGAAGTATTCACATCTGTGGCAAATAAACCCCAAGCAATTAATATGCAAATCTACAAGCAATGTACTGATTATTTTCTGCCAGTGCCTGAGTGCGTAATATTCCAAAGTACAGGCACTGTCATTATATGTGAGTTAAATGTGTCTGTCCTTAAGATCATCAGCTCCTTAAGGGCAGGAAGCATAGCTTAGTTTAATTCCCTAATGATGCTTGGAAAATAAAACTGGGTACGCGTGAAGTCAGCATTCAGGCAGTTTCCCTTTTCAGCCACATTCCCTGTACCCAGGGTCTCCATGCCCCGCCCCTCCTGGGACACGCCGCTCCTGCACTCACTGTATATGGGGATCTGGAGAACCGTCATGGTCTCATCCTTGTATTCTGGGGCAGAGTGGGGCCGCACCGCTACATGAAAGAGGTAACAGGAAAGCAACCGCATTAGTACAGACATGTGTGAAGGTGAGCTTTACAGATCAGCAACCACAAGCAAATGAATTGCCTTGGAGTTTTTGTGAGAATCTGCACTAAAAGCAGAATGTCTGAGTTAATTATAACTTGGGGGAAAGATGCAACATATATATTTATTCAGTTATAATATTTACCTGGGGGAGGAGAGTATAAGGGGTCTAAATAGTAATGGAAAAAAAAACAGTAAAGATTAAATAAAAAAATAAATAATATATTTACTATGGCCAAACGAAAAGACATATTATGATCACTGGTGACTATGCATTAACAAAAAGAAAGAAAGCAATACTTGAATTTAAGAGACACATGTTAACACATAAACACCATGAGGCCAGAGAATCTATCATCTCAACTGTAAGGGCCAGTATGGCTTCTGAAACAAGACATTGGTACTCCTGCAGGCACGGGGCATGATCAAGCTGGAAGGGCACACAGCTTCCAGGACAGGGCCTGAGTCATCCTGGGTGAGCCTTTTCCTGTGCCAAGGCCACATGCAGCAGAGCCGAAGCTGAGGGTCAGTGTAAAAGGATGGAGACAAAACCCGTAGGTCCCTCTGCTCACACCCTTCCTCCCTAGAGCTGGGAATCCAAGGTAACACATATGAGAAAAAAAAAGAGAGACAATGAGGCAGAGTTGGGGACATACCCAGCTCTATTCCTTTCAACGGACCAGAAAATATTTTGATTGCTTCTAGGAATTTTTCCTACAAAAAAGAAAGAAAAGAAAGAAGTGAGGTGTTATGGCTACATAAATGCAAAAGGCAACGATGTATTCAAGAACGTAAGAGATATCAACATGACCTTGAATAACTATTTTGAACTTCCTCTACACAAACATCTACCAAGTATTCACTCCATGTTAGATGCCAAAGAGTTAGCAGTGAGGAGATGGGGCCCTTGCCCTCAGGAAACTTTGATTCAGAGGAGGAGACAAAAATGAAACAAATGACAACACAAACAAAAATGTAGTGGCAGCTGTGCTAAGTGCTCTTTAAGACACAGGAAAAACGCTGAGGGCTGGGATATAACTTGTCTGGAGAATCCAGGACAGCTCCTGAGCCAATGACCTCCAGCTGAGCCCTGAAAGTTCAGAAAGACTGAGGCAGAGATGAAAGGAGGCAGAAGGAACTTGATTATGGATGAAAACGTAAGATGGGAAGGAGCTTCTGTGAGGTGCAGTGCAGCTATGAGTTGGCCCATGTTGTTCCAGCTTGGTGCCTGCGTTATGGATGCAAGTGTGGGCAAGGGCCAAGGCTTGCAGGACTCGAGGGCCAGACAAGGGGTTTGGAATGTAGCGAATGGGGAACCAATGGAGGCTTTTAGGATGGAAGTAACTTTCTGCTGTTAAGCCTGAAAGGAGTCCCTCTGGCCACCATGTGGTGGGTGGATTACAGAGAGGCAAGACTGGATATAGGAAGCTCTCCCAATAGACAGGGGCAGTCGAAAGAGATAATGAAGATGAAGACAAATGAGATGGAGACATATGGATGGATTTGAAACATTACTTTGGAGACAATTAATGGTACTTGGTGATTGGCTGCCTTTATCTTAAGAACTGGGAAATGAACTGTTTATTCAACAGTTACAACCACATGCACACTTCTCAATAGTCATAAGGTATGAAATGTCTGAAATTTAATAAATAGCTAAGAATAAAAGCTAACATTTACTGTGTGCCTACTTGGTGCCAAACATCTAAGAGATTTAGTGCTTTATCTCTGTTATCTCATTTAATCTTTAACAACTCTATGAAACATGACAGCCATTTTATGGATAAAGAAACTGAGGCTCTAAGAGGTAACTTGTTCAAAGTCATACATTTAGTAAGTTTTAGACTCAGGCCTCTTTATCTTGAAAGGAAAAGGGTTTACTTCACTATTGATTACCTCTGGAGAGCAGAAGACTAATGCAAACATAAAAACTCTTATCCTAACTTTTAAAATGGGTGGTTAGTTTTGAAAGCTGAGTCAGGAGAGACTCACCAGTTGTGGAGGTCCAGAAAGTACACACTTGGGAAGCCCGGTTTCCTTTAATGTAAGAATCATTCCTAAAAAAGACAAATCAAATCTCTCACCATAGCCACTGCCAGCAAGAGAACTTCTTGTAAACCGGCTATTTTTCTGCTCATTCCAGCTTCGAATGATCAGGAACATGTGTACAGCAGAAGTGACACTAGCTAGAGGTATGGGGGACACCAGATATCCCTCAGATGCCTTTAAAACAAGCAGGGCTGATAGTAGGGTGAGGCAGTCAGTCACCTCAGGTACGAAATCATTCACGCGAAGAATGGTTTTAAATTTTTGCACCCTAGCCATCTTCTTGCCTCACTCTAGTCTCAGCTCTGAGAATGCATCTAGTATAACACTCCAATCCTTCCTATCCACATCACAAAGCTTACAGAATTTGGAGGCAGCACAATCTTGACCTTCACAGCAGGTGGGCATTGATAATAGGATAATAATGGGTGTAGCTGTTGACGTCCTTGATGGTAAGTACAGTTCCTGTAATCACCATCCCGACTCATTCCGGTTTACTGTCACACAACTCCAGTCCAGCAACTCAATAAATGAGTGGATGGGACCATTTGAGGGCAGTATCCACATTAAACTCTTCTATTCTGAGTCATTGCTTTTGATGATCTCTATGGCAGACTGGCATGGCATAAAGAGAATTCCATCAACCCTAGTCTCAGAAGATCAGAAAAAAAAAAAAGGCCCAGGCAGGTTAAAATTCCACAGACATCCTCCTGCCTGTCTCTGACCCTGGAAAGAGTATACTCACCACACAATCCCCCAACATTACTCCAGTGCATTCGGGTCAGGAATATGTTGTCCAAACGAGACACTTTCAGTCTGAGAAAGAGAAAACATTTGAGCACAACAAAGTGGATTGACTAGGGACCCTTTCTTCTGCTATAAAAACACTCCTGCTTCTCACCTCAGCTTTCAAAGCCCATAATTATCTCACCCCAAAAGAAAGCAGTTGACTCACTTGTGCTCCTGCATGAGTCGCTGGATACCTTCGCCACAATTGAAGAGATACCTACAGGACAAACATTATGGAAGTTACTTAGAAGAGTCTATTTTGTAGAAAATAGAAAATCTTCGTCACTGTTCAGATGTTTTATTGTACACTCCGGGGAAAAAAACAAACAAATAAACAAAACCCCTAAAAATCCATGTTGCGCTACCTGGCCGCATTTCTGCTATTAGGATTGGGTTTTGAGAGGTTTTAGCAGAGACAAGGTGGGGTTTGGGAACTGTGCAGGCTGGGAATGAGGTCCAGACAGGTCCTTTCCCCATAACCAAGCCTGTCGACCTCACACATCAATTCTGAGGTCCGGTCTTGGTGTGCATGGGAGGGGTTGCAGTACAGTCAGTGCCAAGGGGGAACTCAGGGCCCACGGGTAGGAAAGAGGACGCTTATACCCAAGTCTGAAATTCTTCAGGGACTTCGGGAAACGAGAGGGACGTGGGATGTAAGGGATCTAGGATGCCCCACCCACCCAAAGACAAAGTTCGAAGGCAATAGTGAAATCCCACGTGTCGCCAGCGCGCACACGGAGGGCTGGGCGGGGCTCGTAAGCGGACGGACTCCAGGCGCGACTCACTGACCGGTTGTACTCGGAGAAGACGTAGAGCGCCGCGCCCACGTCCCGGCCGCCAGCCGCCACAACCTGCAGGTACACAGTGTTCGGTCCCCCGGGCTCCCAGGACGGGCCGCGCTTCTCCCGCGTGCGCAGGTGCCTCAGCGGGTCCTTAGGCGGACGCTGGCGGCGGGCGGGTCCCTGAGACATGGTGCGCCCGGCCGCTGACCGCAGCAGCAGCAAGCGGAGAGCCCACATGCGCCAGTTTTCACGCAGGCTGGAAACTGCAACCGGTCACCCTGGTCTGCACGCCTCACGCCCCACCCCTCCGACCTCATGGCAGACACGGCCAATCAGCGTGCCGAAAACTGAATTGCCCGCCCACACAAGGCTGCCTGTCCAATAGTGAGGAGTCTTGCCTGAAAAACTTGTCAATTGGCGGCAGCCATAGAGTCGCGGAATGCTAGAGCGTCCTAATTGACCCCACCCCTTGTCTTTTTCCGGCTTACCTCCTTGTCAATATTTTACGGAAACCATCCTTGGCCCAAGGGTGGGGCTTCCTGGGGCGCGTGGACGGAAAGGGCATTACCAGTGCAGGAGCTGGTGTTTGGAGTTTCGAGTTCCCACAAGGGGTTCGTGCCCCGACGCCGCCAGTGCTCTTAAGTGGTCCTTTGGTTTGATCTTGCTTGTGGTTGTGTTAGATTTACTTGTGAGGAAATAAATTATAGAGAATGTTAGTGTAATTCGAACGAGTACATGTTTCGAATGACTGCTTTTACTGGCTTTGGGAAAAAAGCAAGAATAGCAGTTAGGGGTTACACAACAAGCTCTGGAGCAGGAGTCTTGGGTCTGTTATTAAGTCATAATAAATAAGGAGTTGCAACATCATGGATGAACCTTAGGAATTATGCTGCAAAATAATATAGACAGACGGACTTTAATTTTGGAGTAGTAACTGCCATCCCATACAAACTTCTTCTCAGGTCTTCCTGCTAAAACCTTTGGAATGTTAAAAGGGCAAAATAATTTTTGAACTGGACCTAGAGCAACATTGCAGCCCCAAACGAGAAAGCAAATATTATCACCTGACTGATGAGTACTGAAAGGAAAATTGAAAACATTCTCTGGAATTAACATCATTTTGTTATCTGCACCTATAGAAACACATTCCTTCTATTGATGTAATCTCATAAATATCACTTGCCTTGTTTCCTACTCAGAACTTGCTCGCAAATAAATGCATGCTGCCTCTCAGTTTGGCCTTTTTAAGGTTAGCAATGCTAAGTGCAATAAGCCAGAGAAAGACAAATACAATTTGCTTTCATTTTTATACTGAATAAAAAAAAACTCATAGAAGCAAAGTAGATTGGTGGTTAGCAGGGGCTAAGGGCTATGAGAAATTGGTGAAGGCAATCAAAGGTCTAAACATTTAGTTATAAGATGAATACATTCTGGGGGGTGTAATGTGCAGCATAGTGATTATAGTGAATAATACTGTATTGCACACTTGAAAGTTACTGAGAGAGTAGTTCCCAAAAATTCTGACCACAAAAAAATAGCGAGGTGATGGATTTATTAAATAACCTTATTGTGGTAATCATTTTACTATATAAACTTACATAAATTGTAGCACCTTAAAGTTATACCTTGTTATTTGTCAGTTATATCTCAATAAAACTTAGGAAAATCAAAACACTATAAAACGTGTAAAAAGATATTAGGAAGTACAATACTATAATGATTTTTCCCTTGGTGACTACTTTGATTCTTTTAAGAGAAATATTAAATTCCATGCAAAAAATAAAATTTGATTCTTCTGTCTTAGTGGTTCCCAGGCTCATTTTTGTCAGGTAATCCCAGACCATTTATACCTTAAAATATAGGAAGAACTGCTTTTGTTCATGTACTTATGAAGGTATAAACATAGTTATGTTTTGTTTTCACAGGTCATGTTTTCATTGGGAGTCATATCCAATAAGTACATGAAGTTCAGGACAGTTACTGGCTATAGTTTCCAGGGCACAGAATGCCCTTCTGCACTGATGTTCTGGGTCGTGTTTTTATGCTTAGTGTATGGTGAAGACAAATGCTAAGGCTTCCCCAAAGTGAGGGGAAGGACAGGATTTCCATAAGGACAGGATTTGTCGGTCTGGATCTCTGATGTAAGCCTTAGCTTTTGGGCTGGTGGCAGGCAATTAATGTTAAGGAATTAGGAAGAACCCAGTAGCCCAACTGAGGCTGGGGTCCTTGCAGTTGGCAGGGCCCCAAATTCCATGAAGTCAGGAAGGAATGTTATCAGAAGAGGGGTTGGGCTGACTGGTACCTCCCAAAGAATAGGTAGGTCACAGGCACAGAGACAGAAGTGTCTCCAATGATGGGAGACTCAAATGCTGGAAAGTTTTAGTTTTGGGTAATAGCTAATAAGCTTAGTAATCAATGCCTGTAAAAAGCTATTGTTCCAGGAACTGAAGATATGACCCACTCTGACTCCAGGAGACCATAGACAGTTCCACCTTTGTGCCCCAAGAGGACTGCACGCAATCATGATAGTATCTGAGCCATTGTGCTCCAGGGGGAGATGCCTACCACCTAGGACACAGATAATGCTGCAGCTTTTATCTGATTGATTTTTCCCCTGAATCCTAACCCCTTTACCTATGCTTTTCATCTTATAAAGAGTCAGTTTGAAATGGGATTTAAGATGGTATGTTAGAGCACGTAATCTGCCAGTTTCTCAGATCGTAGGCCAGATGAATAAAGTGCCCATAAAGATTCAATCCCTGTCTCTGCTTATTGCAGGGGTGTCCAACATTTTGGTGTCTCTGGACCACACTAGAAGAAGAAGAGTTGTTGTGGGCCACACATTAAATACATTGTGACACATAATAAAAAAAATCTCAATCTGTTAAGTAAATTTACAGTTTTGTGTTGGACCGAATTCATAGCTACTGGGGGTCGCATGTGGATGGCAGGCTGTGTGCGGGTCAAACACCCTTGGCTTGTTGGTTCTGGTAGTGACAGGCAGCATGAACTCCAGCTTTTTCAGTTTGAATTTTAACTTAATCACATCTTTAAAGACACTCCCTCCAAATACTGTCATATTCTGAATTTCTGGGTCTTAGGGCTTCATCATATGAGTTTTGAGGGGACACAATTCAGTTCATATCAGCTCGCTCCATCCTTTCCTCCTCCAGCCCTTCAACAGCCAACACACTCCTGCTTTCCCGGTATCTGCTGCCCCAGACTTCAGAGGGTAGAACTAACTGCAAGAGCTCCCTGTTATGATTCCAGCTGGCAATTGAACTGGAGTCTGAAATGAGGGGTCTTGGTTCCTCACAGGCTCTTGCCCAGGGAGAGAGAGAGAGAGAGAGAGAGAGAGAGAGAGAGAGGGAGAGAGGCTGTAAGGCAACTCACTCCCTCTTGACCTGATGGAAGTATAATTCTCAGTTGAAGGGGTGCTAGGCACTCATTTAGTAGGTGCGCTCAACTGGCAATAGGCTGGAGCAGTTAAGTCTTCTCGATTCTCAGGGCACATTCTAGATTCTTCTCATATCCTTGATGAAGCATCGTCTGGGTGGCTCCATGTCTCTGGTCGCTGAGAAACCGGTCCCCAAGGAGTGCAGTGCACACCCTCACCACTAGAGGGTTCCGTGGCGCCCCAGCTTGGGGAATGCTGGGCTTCTGAGGCTGTGGTTCCTTCAGTGTCCAGCTATCTTCACAGCTTACTTTTAAGGCTACCAAGTAAGTGTTAAGCGCTGCATTGTCAGTAAGAAAAAGCCAGCGTGGTTTAACCAAGGAACTTATGGACTGGCAGGAGGCTGGCAAATGTGAACCTTAGTATTGCCCCCACACTACTAATTTATACTAAAATTTTTCAAACATCTGTTGAACACTCATCACCCACTACTTAGATCCCACCGTTAACATTCACTATATGTACTTTATCGCGTGTCATTGTCTGTTCCTCCCTCTGTCCATCCATCCATCTTCCAGCAGCCAGTGAGCTACCTGCAATGTCTCAGGGGAGGGGAGAGGTGGTGAACAGAGTAGGAGTAGCCCTGGGGTCCTCCTTGCTTTCGTCTCAGAAGTGTCAGCCCCTGGGGGGAGAGGACGTGCTGGACATAGAGTATCTGTGGATAACAGGAAAGGGAGAGAGAACACCCTGTGCAGCAGGACAGATGGTCTGGAGTGAGCAAAGGCAAAGAGGGCTAAAGGGCAGGGGGACCTGTGCCCTGTCCCCTGGGCAGGGACCCTGAAGGCTGTGGGACTGCAGCAGGCAAGGGCTGCCTGGGCACCTGGGTGTTTCCGGCACGGTGATGAGTATTCCAGGTCCAGAGGCCAAGGACCAGATGGGTTGCCCATTCGCCTGGACACTGTGTGGGCTTCCTCTGTACCCCATGTTTGTGGACTGAATTATGTTCTTCCAGAGTTCCTGTGTCGAAGCCCTAATCCCCTGTAATAACAGGATGTACCTGTATTTGGAGATAGGGCTTTTATTAAGGTAATTCAGGTAATTAAAATGAGGCTGTAGTGTGGGGATTCCTTATAAGAAGAGGAGAACAGGGCACAAGACAGACACCAGAGATTCTCCCATACGAGGAAAGACTGAGGGAGGACATAGCAGCCTGGCAACTGCCTGCAAGCCCATGCGAGCGGCCTTGGAAGAAACCAAACTTTGACCTTGGCCCCCCAGTCTTCAGAGCTCCAAGAAAACAGATTTCTGCTGTATAAGCCACCTGCCTGTGATATTTTGTTTTGGCAGCAGGAGCAGGCTAATTCAGCCCATCCCCAGGCACCTGATGTGGCCCTTAGGGTCCCAGGGACCACGGAATAGAGTCTGGATTTTCTTCCAGTGCAACCTAATGACTCAAACAAAGGTATAAACATAGTTATGTTTTTTTTTCACAGCCAATGTTTTCACTGGGAGTCATATCCAATACACAGTTAAGCAACTGATTTGAGGGTATGTGTTAATAGAGGTATACTCTGAGTACAGAACAATGCCAGGGAAGGTTCCTCTCAGAACATATGGCATGCTTAGAACTTTGAAAAAATTCTTGATTTCTGGAATGGCAAGGTGAGGAACAGCATCCCAGCCACAGGGAGCAGGACGGAGCTGTGGCAGACAGGTGTGTGCGCAGAGAGCTACACAGAGTGGCTCGCAGAGTGCTGTCGTCATGACAGGCACACATCCATGAATTTAAATTTATGAATCAGCCCTGGCTGGTGTGGCTCAGTGGATTGAGTGCCAGCCTGCCAACCAGAGAGAGGCTAGTTCCATTCCCAGTCAGGGCATATGCCTGGGTTTCTGGCCAG